AGTATGATTTTTTTATTATTTTTTAATAATTTTGCAGAGGTGATAACGGTGTTTATCAATGGGGTGGCGACGGAGATAGGGAGGGGCGCGGTGGATATGAAGGCGGTGTTCGGCGGAGATTTTGTGCTGTTTCATTCTTCCGGGGTGCCGGTTCAGGTGAATGAGTATGGATTTCTGCTGCAGAGTTTGCAGCATGGTGAAAGCTATTTTCTGGTAATTATTTCTTTATTTCATTTAATTAATTAATATTCAATGCATAAATTATGGAAATCTGCATCGGGAAATTGCATGTCTGTAAACGTCATCCCTGATTTTAATCCATATGAAATTGCACTGAATTCCATTCTGATTTTCATCCGTTTCTGCCTTTTTTTTTCTTTTTCTTTTTTAGGTAAAGAAAATATTTTAAAATTCTTTTAATAATAATTTCAGTTTTTACAAGAACTATATATATATATATGTATATATATATATATATATCAATTATGTCAGTTTAAGATTCTGGGTGTCAAATATTATCCGTACTATATTATTTGTCTTTTTGAAAACAAAAAATGAAATAAATACAAAATTGTTGTTTTCTAAAATTTTAATACGGGATGAATTATTTGTATTTCAAATTTCACCATATGATTTATAATCGTACAACCAATAATTTATAATCTTTCAACGTTTTTGTTCTGAATTATTAATCTTACAATCTATTTTCCAGTTTCACCCTTATAACATGTAAATTATTTAAGCCATTAAATTCTTTCAAACAAAATAAATAATCGATGAAGGGAGAATAAGTGACATTCTAGTCATATTAATGTACATTGTTTCTAAGATCCATGCATATTTATTTGCTTTTTAATTTGCTTAAGTTGAAACAAAGAGATCAATACTATGTAAATTATCGGCATCTTATTTCGATATTTTGTAATTAATTTAATTACAATTAATTTCAGGTTCCAAAACATTAATGAGTTTGGATGCAACACCAGATGCCTACAGTGGGGGGAGCTTGGTATCTAAACCAATGCATCATTTCTTATTTTAATTATATTATATTGTAATTCTTTTTTTTTTTCTTTTTTTTTTCATAAATGCCCTTCTGTTGCTATCTGGAAATTACTATATATATATATATATATTGCTCAAGTACTCAAAGTATAGAACTTGAAATTGCAGCTCAAGTATTGTATATTCATACTCTCTCAATCATCTTAAACTCTCTTTTCTTTCCTTATGAATATTCATCTCCTTTTTATTATTAATTTGAGTACTTACATCGTATAAAACTGTATCTATATACATTATATACATATGTATATGTATATGTTTATGTAATGCTGATTTAATAACAACTAAAATAAAAAGGTACGTGCATCGTTTGCACAAACATATATAGAAAATTAAATAAAAGAAATAATAGAGAAAAAAAAGGGGTTAGCCGAAGTCCAGAATTCAATGGAAAGATTCGAGATTTGGCTTTCAGCACCGACAACTCTAACCAATCCAAAAGGCTGACATCTTAATTTGTTTTAACTTTTTTCATGCATACATACATGTACGTGTTTATATTAATACTCCCTATTTTGGTAATTATGTGTCGTTTCTCACTTTTGAACAAAGTCTTGAAAAATTCGATAAAAATGTTAAGATTTTAGGAAAATATTTATTATCAGACCAAAATATTCTTATTTATTAATTAATACGGGGAGAGTATTGGATAATTAATACTCCCTCCGTTCCATTTTAATTGTCGTTTTTAAGCTTTTCACGAAGATTAAGAAATTCATTAAATGTGTCTTGATTTTAGGAAAATATATGCTTTTAGACTAAAATGACCTTGTCTTATAATTAATAAGAAAGATAAATTAGTTGAAAAAATAGTATTGGAAAGAGTTAATAAGGGTATAAACTGGAAATTAAGTAATTAATGAAGTATTGGAAATTTAAAGTGACAGATAATATGGAACAAAAAAAATTCTCCAAAGCGACAGATATTATGGAACGGATGGAGTAATTAATAAGGAGATAATTGAAAAATATATAACTAATACAGAATTGGAATTCTAAGTGCCAAGTAATACGGAACAATTTTTTTTTCTTCAAAAAGCGACAAAATATTGTGGAACAGAGGAAGTAAGTCGACAAAAATACATAGTTGTAGAATATCAATAGAATTTTAACAACAAAAGCTTACTTAATTTGTATTCTTATTAGCCATTAGTAAGAATTTCTGCAACTTTTATTTTATGAATAGTTCTTTCCTCAAACAGAGAAATAAACTTTTTCTTTTTTAATTTTAATTAAACCACTCTTTGAAAATTAATTTAGCAAATATCTAGCTAATAAAGAATTATACGCATTTCTTAAAAAAAATCAAACTTAAAAACTTATCCATCTATTATCTAAAGAAGACTAGGGAACACTAGGTACACCTTGTAATGACTAGTTATACAATATAGTTATTTTCTACAAATATAATATCATGCAAAGTTCTTTCCATTTGTTGGCATTTATGTTAAAAGGAGTAAAAAATATCTTATAAAAAAGAAAAAAAAAAAGACAAGCAAGTTATTAATTACTTGTGTAATAAAGATGTTACCCTAAGTTTTAGGCTTTAGGGGATGAAGCACTTAATTGTTTTAATTTAATTATGGTTATTATGAGAAGAAGCGGAAAGGTGTGTGCACAATTAATTGCACATGGACTCATAATTAATCTATTTGGACAAAAAGTTCAGATTAATTTGATATTTTTGTTATCCATTTGTTTGGAAATAACATTAATTAATATAGTATTTTTTTCCTTTTCAAGAATTAGGGGCTGTGTTTGTTGTTGAGTGTCTCTAATTGGATTGGCTTTCGATTAATTCATTATTTCATTACAGAAATTATATACCACTTTTCCTAAAAAAAATAGGGAATTAAAGTTTCAGCGGGATGTTTCTTAAAATATGATATGAGCTAGGAGTGTAAACGAATCCATCTCGAACCGAGCCTGGCAAATTTAGTGAGCGTGGGCTCGAACCAAATTTGTCCAGCTCGATCTCATTTTCTATTATTTTATATCATTTATACAAAAATTGTTAACTTATTATTATTATAAAATACTTATTAGATTTACCAAAAAAAAAAAAAAACAAAAATTATTTTTTTCAAAAGTTTATATGTATTTATTAGATTTTATATCAGCACATGAGCGCCACACGGCCACAAGTAGTGTGCTGAAAAGCCTAGGCCCATGACACCAAACTCGTAAAGTTCGTGTATAATATAAACTTATGTTTTTGTTGAATCGGCTCAACAAACTCACTAACCAAGCTCAATTTATCGATACCCCTGATACTATAGGCACATTTTAAGAAGCAACTATAAGTGATTATATCGAAATAAGTTATGTTTGTTTTAATAGAAAATTTTAAAAGGACCCTTTTGCAAATGTTAAGAAATATATTAAATGATAATATTCTTTGTAAATAAATACCCACTAATGTTAAATAGCAAAATTCGACACTAGGAGTTTAGGACAATTAACTTGATTTTGTTTGGGCCTATATTCATTAATTTATTTGGGTATGCTTTTATATGGGCCAATCGAAATATGAATATATTTGAATTTGTTCCTATAATATATACTTGGGCTTATCTGGTGCTTATGTCGTAATTATATTCATAACTGAAATGTTAAATGTCGTTTTGACTTCGAACTTTATTTTGATAATTACTATTTTAATTTTGGTAAATTTCGAAACACAAAAACTGTAGTTATTTGGGTTAGCTTTCTAATCCAACTTAAATCCGCTAGATTGGATGTCGTGTGACAAAGTTATGCATGAATGAGCCACATTTTGAATTTTAGAAACCTCAATATATCAAAGTTGTGAGCAATATCCATTGATTCATGTATATCTTTCTCATTCGACATCTAATTTGGTGATTCAAGTTGGATTAGAAAACTAACTCAGAATACTACAAATTCTATTTTTCGAGTTTTGCAAAATTTGAAATTAAAAATGATCAAAATCACGTTTGAAGTCGAAACGATATTATTAAATTAGATAAATTTAATTCCAACAACAATTTGTTCGAATAATTGCCATTATCCGCCATATACATTGTACCAAAAGCGTGGAAATGACAAGAGAAACGCTTTAATTCAAGCCGCAAAAGCGAGTGACAACCGGGCCGAGTGAGAACTCGCCAGCGGCGGCTTATTAGCCCGTGGCGGCCTATTAACCCCACGTAGCGGGAACATCGGTGGGCCTTCCGCCGCCAAATATTTCAACGCCGGCGGACCCACGCTCACCGCCTTTTCCTGCCGACATCCCATTGCCATCAGTCCATTATTATTACCCTTGCCGTCGCCGCCACCCTCCTCCTCCACCCGCTTCCCCAAGGCGGAAGTACTGTCGGCGATCCTAGCCCTGTCGAATCCCTCCGCCGTGGTCACGCTGACCTCACTTGGAGGATAACACTCTGTTGCTGCCAGATTCCGGCCGCCGTACTGAACGATTCTATTGGAGGATGCAATGATTCTGCTTGCGTTGGAAGTGGGCTCCTCGTCGGCGGAATCCCTCCTGCGGTACATATGATACGACGTCGTTTGAGTAGTTGAAAAGCTTTCAATCTCGAACAGGTCCGAACTCGCGTCACTCCCCACGTCATCGTCACGCGCCACTGCACTCCCTTGGTTAAAAGAACAACCACCGACGGGATTTTTCGCCGATGACGGACTATTAACGATTGATTTAGTCGCCTGAACGTCGGAGGAATTTTTCAGGATCGGAAAAGTGAAACCCACAACGCCGCCGCCGTCGAGAAACGGCCGCCCCGACGAAGACACCCGCGCTTTATTCTGATGGATTTCGATAATATCTCTCGTGAACGACGAGCTTCTTCTTCGCGAAATTCCGTTTTGAATCACCTGACGTGGCGTTTTTCTCATCACGCCGTTGACGAATATCCCGGCGGGTCCCTTCTGTTCCGATTCCGACGTAACCACCGTCGTCTTAACCACCTGGACGGATTTCCCGCCGGTGCAGCAGCATTTTCTTCCAAGAAACTTCCATCTCTTAGCAGCAGCAGCAGCAGCAGAAGCAGAGTTCTTCCTACTGCTGTAATGATCATCAGAAGGCGAATTTCCGGTGGAAGCTACACCGGCAGAGCTCGCCGGAGGATTCCGAAGGAGGCCGGTGCGGCTGTTCCAGCTGGCCTCCGACGAAGCGGTGGGGGTCCCACGGAAAGATCTTGTACGGAAATCCCTACTCCCGTATCCATATTCAACAGAAGCAGATACAACATCCATTGATCTCGCACCAGCTGAAATCAGATGATCGCCATGCATGCAATTGTTCTTGTCGTTGGTGCTGACGTGGATTCTTTTCTTGCTTCGGAGAATTCATTTCAGTCTCGCTGAAATACTTGTGCGCATCGAAAATGCTTAGTTCTGTTTCTTCAATAATTGTCACACCATGGAAATTTGATTGTTTTTTTGATTTGTTTTGTGAATCCATCACAATTCACACACACACACACACACACACACACACACACACACACTTCTCTTAAGGGGAAATTAATTAAACTGATTTGTTTCTAAATATTCCTGATATCTGACCTTTATAAATAGATAGGATCATTTATATATAGGAGAGAAGTAATTTATTTATTTATTTATTATTATTTTTTAATTTATTTATTTAGTATTAATAATAAACTAAAAAAGGTTTACATGGTATAAAAAGGACCACATAGTATAAGTATAAATGTAGTAATATTTTTTGTATATCCTAGAAGAATGCTGGAGGCAAGTTCCTCGGGAACACTCTTGAAGAGCTACCTATGCTATGCTTGCTGCCAAATTCATCAATCTTTTTTTTGTCTAATCGAGTTGATTGAATTGAAAACTATGCAATTTCACATTCTCTCCTTTATCTTTTATTTTATTTATTTTCATCTACTTTCATATTCCACCAACCGTGCACACTATTCCCTAACAAATCAAATGATTATTCGAAAATGATTAACTATAAACGAAAGTTAACGACGTGACAACACATATAATCGGATCGTTAATTTTCCGCCTCTAATTTTTTTCACATAATGATCATACACGTAGGATGTGGATCTGTTTCATTAAGATATAACTCGCCATAGATCGTTAATCAAGTGCTGCATAGAACAAAACGTAACGTCCCTTTCAGTTAAAGTATATATGATCTTATATCTTAATAACCTGACAAGACATAATTTGATAGTTTTTCGCCTTTGATTTGCACATAATCAGACACGTAGAATGTGTATATATTTCACTAAAATATATGAGTACTCGCTTAAAGTTAATCGAGTGCATCATTGAACAAAACATAACGTCGATCACTTCCCGCTAAAGTATATATCTTATAACGTGATCACAACACATAATCTGATAGTTTTTCGCCTTTGATTTGCACATAATTAGACTCGTGTAATATTTTTCACTAAAATATAACTCTACGTAAAGTTCATCGAGTGCAGTATAGAACAAAACATAATGTCACTTTCAACTAAAGTATATATGATCTTATATCTTAATTATGGAAGCTAATTAAACAAGTATACCTTTAATTTAAACTTGATTTGATAGTTGTGGTGGTGAATTAGACAACTACTACTCTAGCAACTTTTTATGACTCTTTAACTACCACTTGCTAGAAACTACTCTACTACACTTAATTAACTCTAGTTTCACACACACACACACACTCACACATATATGATATATATATTGATGATGCTAAAATATTTAGATCACCTGGGGTAGTATAGAAAACGAACTGGGAGAGCAAAGCAGATCAGTAGCTTGACAACTTGATGATCCTGAGGTACCTGCGATCATAGAACACATAAGCTAAGCCGGGGGTTGATCCGGCGGAAACCCCTCCGACGCTCAAGTCAGACGTGCTGATCATAGAAATGGTCCAGAGAATACGTATTGTAGTATTGCTCAGTTAATAGGACGTACCTTAATAAAATGAGTAAAACCTCTATTTATATGTCGTTTATTGGGTTGGGTTTGCTTTGTTGGGCCCAAGCCTTACTTGAAGGTGTTTGGGCATCGGTGATATTGGTCTTCGATATTGGGCTCGTAGCCCAGTAGGTAAAGAAATTGTAGGCCCATTGGGTTGGCCCAATTAGGCATATCATTAAGCCCCCCACTCTCGAGTCGATGTGGGGGCCATGTTGTGATGGGTCTCAGATCG